GTACACGCTAAAATAGTCTGAACTAAAATATTCTATTTCAATTAAAAAACAAAACACGAAGTGTACAACTTGCATCAAACACGTAGAGTGCCCAGAGAATGTGTCCAATGGCCATTGCATCCTCATTGAGGTTGATCTTTTGTGGAACAATCTCCAACCTCTTGCGGCAATACATCAACTGAAGTTTTAAACCAGCAGCCTTTGCTGCAGCTGGCACGACAAAAACCAGGCTTCCACCCATGACGTCAGGATCCACACCAACAATAGCATATGTCCTGAATACACCAAAAATGGGCGATCCCTTGCGCACAACAACACTTCATTTCATGAGCAACACAACCCCAGCGTCATCACTGATTTGGCTAGAATTCCCAGCAGTGCTGATCCCATCTTTCTTAAACACGAGCTTTAATTTCCCCAGACCTGCTATTGGCGGTAGTGGATGGGGGAGATGGTGATCTGATGTCTGCTTCAGGTGGAAGATTTGGGCTTGCGTTGTTTTTTCTATATCGTCGGTGGGTATGGTTTTTTTGTTGAAGATGGGGACAATGGTCTTGGCGTAGCCGTGGGTATGGTGGAGCTGTTTTGTCTGGTTTTGCTGGTAGTGGCTGGGTTATTTGCGGGTAAAGGGATGTTTGGGTTTGTTTCGGTAAAGATTCTACTTGGTTTTGATTGAGATTTCAAGCTGGAATTTGAGCTAAGATAAGCTATAATTGGGTCTAGTTAATTGGGACTTTCATGGCTGATTTTGAGCAGATTTTAGTAGTATTTGGCGGCGAAGACGGCTTTGATCATGGCTGATTTGGGTCTGGTCTCCTGGAGAGAAAGAGACGGTGAAGGTTCGGTTTAGTGAGGGAATAGGTTTTCTGGTATGTGGAAGGTGCGTTTGGTTGTGAGGCCAGGGTCTTGTTTGAAATTGCTTTTCAACGTTGTTTTTTTCTTATTTTTTTTTTAGTTTTAAATTATATTTTAAGTATTGTTTGATATTTTGTTGTGATAATTCAAAAAATAAATTTTAAAAAACAAAAAACGCACTTTTAAGAATAAAATTTACCACAGGAGACTTGAGGGACAGGCTGTGGTTGGTGTCAGGAGCTGGACAGTTGGGTGCTTGGTGAGTTTTGGTAGTAAATGGAGAAGGATCGTGTGTGGTTGCTGAATGAGGGGCGTGTGGTTAATTGGGGCAGCTAGGTAGTTTTTTTTCAAAAAAAAATCTTTTGGAAGACAGTGAATATTTTTTTTGGAGGGAATTTTTATTTCACTCTCTTTAGCTCTCTTTTTACTTTTTTTTTAAAAAAAATATTTTTGTCTCCAAATTTTCTATATTTTTATTTATGAATCTCACTTCTAAATTTATGTATTTTATATGACTCGAGAATTTGGTAGTATCCCGGACACTTCACAGCCACTGGACTTGGGGATTTAGGTGAATATTTTCAAGGGAATCCTTGGAGACTTGAAAATCAGGTAGCGAGACATGAAATTTTGTAAACCTTTTCAAGAGAAACCTCAGAAACTTAAAATTTTGATGAATCATTTTGGAGGATTCTTGAAATCTTGAACTTTGGTGAATATTTTAGAGGATCATTAAGAACTTGAAATTTCAGTGAATTCTTTCAAAGAATCTTTAAGATCTTGAAGATTTGAGTACACTTGAATAAACATATGGCTGCCGAGTATTGCTTTGAACCTTTTTTTTTTTTTTTTGAAAGGAAAGGCTTCTACTCCTAAAGTAAAGTTCAAGATTGTCATCAGGTATTATGTCCATTTAATGGATGGATTGTTAACGGTCATCTTTAGCCCACTGAAAAAATATATTTGCTTTCCAAAAATTAATGTGAAACACCATCACACTGACAAGACAGAACAGCTATACTTGTAGCATACAAGCCCATGATAGATTACTACGATGTCAAAGGGATAATTTTACTTCGAGAATCAGATATAAAGATCATTAGTGAGTACCTTACGAGTGACATATAGTTTTTAAAATCTATATAACAGGTGCATGTTTTAATATTTTTAATTTATTTTAAAACTAGTTGACAAGTTTATTGTTTCAATTTTGCTATTAATTTTTGGAAGTCTCGGTGCCATGCCGAGTGTGAGATCGGAGAGCCAACTCATTGGTGCACCAAAATGTTAAGAAAAGGTATGAAAATGAGACGTCCAACATGCTACCAGCAAGGCCACAATAATTTGACATGCCCGCGTAAAATGGATATTGAGTATACTCAAGAGAATAATTTGTAAATTCCCCCCCCCCCTCCCTCAAATTTTATATTTGCGTGTCGAGCTACCAAACTTTTATATTTGTTTCTTCGCCTCTCGTCATGTTCCCTGCACAGAAACGACCTGATCTGATAATAATTACTCATAATAAGGATAGCATAATTATCCCCACCCAAGTTTAGTAGAATGGATATTACCATTGCAGGTCCGGGCCCAAATCAAACGTGTAGGGCTGTGAATCCGACTGCACCCATTTTAAAAGAAACGGCTGACGCCTGACGAAGTTGACGGTAACGGAGAGCACCAAATGTGAAATCCACAGAAGTCAAAAGGCTAATCCGATGAAATAAAACAGTAAAAAATCAACAGCAATGGCTTCGAACGGAAACCCTAAATTTCAGCTCCCCGTGTTACTCTCCCAATAAAACAACAATGGTCCTATTATTTCCATGGAAACCACTCCTATCTCTCCTACTATTCCTCTCCCTATTCTTTTACGAACACTGGATTTCAATCCCTTCTTGCAACATCGTACCCAACACAGATCTCAACCAACAGGAACACGACGTCGTTGAAGAGGAAAACGACAACGATGAGGTTTTGAAAGTCATGTTGGTTGCCAATTTATTACTCTTAGGATCTGACACTAGCTTTTTTAACCTCTATTTTAGAGATTATTACATGTCCAAGGTTTTCAAGGTAACAACAATTCATCTCTCTCTCTCTCTTTCTCATTCTCTCTTTCTCTCTCTCTTTTTTTTAAACTTTAATCTCGATGTTTAATTAGAAGAAGAAATGGATTCTAATCTTTTCTATGGGAAACAGAAATCTTTTTATTCTTTAAAGCCTGACATGCTGCTGGTAATGGGGGATGTTTCGGCGAGAGGGTCGACATTGACGAGGGGTAAATGGGTATCAGTGTTGCATCAGTTTCATGGAATGATAGGGCCATTTATTGAACTTCCATTTCATGTTGTTCTTGGTGATATGGATGTTGGAGGGTGCAGTGGGCTCGACTCAAATTCAGTTTATTGGATAGCTAGGAGTTTTCCGGGGCTAGATTCATCTGGTTGTGGTGCGTTTGATATTGACAATGTTAGTTTTGTTTCCCTTAACGCGGCTGCATTGCTTTGTGGTAATAATAAGTTGAGGTTTAGTGTTGAGAAGGCTGTAGAGATGGAAAGAATAGGTTCATGGATGGATTCGGAGAAAGAAATGAGTGATTATGGAGAATTTACGAAAATGTCTGATAGTTTTGGGCGGAGAAAGGATTTAGTGACATCTGGATTAGGTCCTGTCCTCTTACTTCATTTTCCATTGCATCGAGCGGAAAATGGTGGTTGTAAGGAAGGGAATATTGTTAGCAAAGCTCCCATGCCCTTACGTCAGGGCTTGAATGCATTAGAGAGTAGCAGGTGGGTGCAATTCTTGCATATGCTGATATCAATGGATTTTTATTCTTCGCATGTTTTCACTGCTAATAGTGATAGGATCCTGTCATGTTAACAGTGATGTTTTGCACACTTTTTTCATGTCATATAATCAATATTTGTTTATGCACTCATCACTTTAAGTTAAACGTGGAGGTACAAGCATGATGTTGAGCTCCCTGTGTTATTGTTGAGCGATAGCCAAGACATGGAGTCATATGTTTTCTAAAGTTTTGCAATGCTTAGTTGTCTTCCGATGGTAGTTTATAGTCCTTTCTACGTGCCTTTTATTCTGTCTTATGAATTTGCTTGCTTGAACTTGCGTGATTGGGAGTTCTGTTTCTTAAAGTTTCCTTATTGTTTCCTTCAGGGGATATACTGGTGCTCCCTATGAGTTATGGCATACAATCCCTCCAAATGCTACGCAGTACATATTTCAGGCTCTTAAACCAAGGTATTCTTACAAATCTTTATGCATCATGGATACTAGTTGCATTTATTGTGGAAAAGAGAATATTGGCCGATAATGTGTTTCACATACTCATTTCGAGTTTAAAGAGCAGATGAAGTAGATATACTAGTATTGTTGATGCTCGATGCCTTCTGGTATTTTCCTAGAGTGCATCAAACAGTGACTTCTTAAGATGATTACCCGTGGCCCTTGCCCTTGTTTGCAGGATTGTTTTCAGTGCGCATACACATGAATTTTGTGATCACACACACTCAGATGGGACACGCGAGATAACTGTCCCTGCAATGACATGGAAAGCAAGGGATGACCCCGGGTTTGTTTTTGCCACATTCAGAAGTGGTGGGAATACTGTAAGTGTCAGCTACTGTTCCCTTGCCAGGGAATCTCATGTACTAATAGCATACACTTTGATTTTGTTTCTGCTAATCACATTAGGGCTTGTGGCAAATAAACCTTACAACATGTGTCTAAGATAGTGATGGGGAAATCCCTCTCCTATACATTTTTGTTGCATTCTTCAAAATTATGACCTTTCTTTTTTCTTACTGTTAATCATGAAACAATCATTTCTTTAGAATCAGTGAAACAGAGATACAGGGGCAGGCCAGTCTGGGAAATTCTCATTTAGCATCACTATTTTCCATTTCAGTTATTTTTTTTTGCAATGCCACTATTCATCACTAGGTATTTTGGACAAATATACCTGATTTTTTATGGCAATAAATTCTCTACTGTTAAAAAAAACCCATATCCCCTTGCAGCTTTTCCTTCAGTCCTAGTTGTCAATTTATTTGTGTGCTTCTACTTCTCTTTAAAGGCAGCAAATAGAAGTTGTGATATAATGATATTTGTTCAAATAGTGATGTACATATAAATGATGCGTGTCTCACAATCCTCATAGGACAAAGAAGCTTGAGCAATTTTAATATTCAAGAATTGAGTACCATGTCGGCATGCTAAACTTCTAGAGAGAGAGGATCGACTGCATTTCTTTATGCTCCAATAAATTCTCCTTAATTCTATTTTTTTTTTTAAAAAAATTCAATTAGTTATGTGCACCAATCACATAAAATTTAATGTATATGATAAAATTCAACTTAAAGCAATTCGGTTATGGTTTTCACGCAAGTTTTAACACTCAAAAACTTATTCTGCTGTTTGTATATAATGATGTATGATGTTAGTCTGGAGACAAGTTATTCTGCTCTTTGGCTTATAGGCAGTGTCGTTTTGCAAAAAGCGTACGTTTTTTTATGATGGGTCAGATGAATCACACGAGTATGGAGGCTGTGGTTCAGATGACGAAGGACATGAGTAAGGATGCTGTGGATGACTCCACATTATGAGACGCAACTTTTGTTGTTTCATGCTGTGAGTTTGTTGATAAGAAATGAATAGATGGCATAAGTTGTATATTCTTTTTTAAGCGTGTTCTATAAGAACAAGGTCCGGTGACGATGCTGGTATTCAGTCCGAGAAAAGTAAGATTTGAGAAGTAAAGAGGGGAAAGAAGGAAGAAGAAAAGAAGTAGCTTGGAAGTAGGAGCTGAAAAGGAGGGGAAAGGGAGAGGAAGAAAAGTCTATCTTTGCAACTTTTATTAATTCTTCAAAACTATAGTAATGTAAAAAATTACGTATAAATAATAAAATTCTAATTACAACCAACAATTTAGCTTATAGCCCATTAAATAAAAAATTCAACAAAATTATATAAGTTAAAATCCAATAATAAAATTCTATAATATATGCTTAGATGAGCTTAGTCTCTCAACTCAAAATTGATAAGAATTGATAAGTGGTAAGGGTGAGAAAAACTTGAAAAAACTAATTAAATCTAAAAAAAAAAATTAACTAGAAAACTAAACCGAGAGAAAAAATTATCCGAATAAAAAATTAAAATTTTCTTTTAACAAGTTTGATTTTAAAAATCTAAAAAAAAAAAGGAGAGGTATAACTTTCTTTAAACTAGCCCCCCTTTCTCTTTGCCCCTCCCTCTTCCAAATCCCAACCCTAAATTAAACCCAAAAGTAGTCATCCACAAGCTTTCTCACGTCTCTCATCTCCTCCCTCCCTCCCTCTCAAATATGTTTTGTTTGGTTGCTGAGAAAACGAATTAAAGTGAGATGATTATGCCAGAGTATAAATGCTACTGGAGGGCAGTGAATCCTTCGTCCTCGGGTTGCTAGATGGGTTATCAAAGAAGGGTCCTGAAAGCTTTGAGATTCATGAAGGCAAACTTTGGTTATGGCAGAAATTTTACTGTAGAACTGAACTTTTTTGTTTGGTTGCTGAGAAAACGAAGTAAAGTGAGATGATTATGCCAGAGTATAAATGCTACTGGAGGGCAGTGAATCCTGCGTCTTCGGGTTGCTAGATGGGTTATCAAAGAAGTGTCCTGAAAGCTTTGAGATTCATGAAGGCAAACTTTGGTTATGGCAGAAATTTTACTGTAGAACTGAACTTTGCGGGACAAAGTCCCGCAATAATGTTGATATTGAGGATCTGTGACGTTTGATAATTTTTAGGAAAAATAAGAATATCTGCCAAAAAAGGAATATCTGCGCTATGCATTACTTTCTGAGCTGTTACGGTGCCTGAATAAAAAGATGAATCCTTCAAATCCACGAACGATCGCCAGGTTCCCATCATGCAGTGATTCCTTCAATGACGGCCTAAATCTCTCCATTGCACCTTCGACTTAGCCAGCTTTAAAGCATATAAATAAACAGAAATAACCAAAAATCAGTCTTTTTTTTTTCTACCTAGACTACAAAATTTGGGAAAATATTGAAGTGAAGAAACCTATTCTGAGATCTTCTATTTGTGCATTGACAAAGCCTCTGTATCCCAATTACCAAACACGTTCCATGGCAGAGTCATATCATAAAGAATCATTACCGAGTACTATAATATTATAGTGATTGGGTATTCCTTGTCTCCAATAAGAAAGAACTGAGATCCTTCTTCCATCACCATCAAACCACGATCGTCAGGACTGCTAAGGTGCTCGCAAGGGCTCAGCTCATATTGAATTTCAGCATTCTCCCCTGCATTTAAATTCACAGTTTGGAATCCAACCAACTTTTTGATTGGCCTTTCATTTCCAGGATTTGCTTGCCTCACAAAAAGCAACACTGGATGCTTACCTGCCATCCCTCCATGGTTTTTAACTCTGACAATAACTGTAAACTTACTTTTTTCGCAGAGTTCTTTACCAATATCTGAAATTAGCTTGTGTCTTATAGTATTTGAGTTCTTAGTTAGTTGATTACTTGAAGCTCTCAAGTGGAGCTTGTTCTGTGTATCAGAAGCAAGCTCATAAGAATAGTTTGAGTAGCTGAGACCATAGCCGAATTCAAAAACCTTTTTCCCGTTGTAGAACCTGTAAGTACGGCCAGGATAGCCTGAAGATAGTTGAGGACGCATTCTCATGTCTGTCATTGGTACTTTGGTGAAATCTTGTGGATACCAAGTCATTGGCAATCTCCCTCCTGCATGGCAACAAGATGAACATCATTCAATTGAAAATAGTTTAGCAGTAAAGTATCCATCCCTTCTTTCCCATGCCATTACCAGATCAAATTAATCTGCGCAAACACTTAAAAATTCACCTGGGTTATGGTCGCCAAATATAATTTGTGCCAGTGCAGTTCCTCCAGCTTCACCTGGATAGCCAGCCCATATAATGCTTCCAATGTTCTGATCATATTTGGCGAAAGATACATCTACTGGACCTCCACAAAAAAGCACCAGAACAACTGGTTTTTTTGCAGCTTTTGCTACAGCAGTTATCAGCTCCCGCTGCTTCCCTGGGAGCACCAGGTCCACACGATCGTGGTCCTCCTTCTCCTGAGTTTGATCTAGTCCCAGAACCAATATCACTTGATCTGCCACCTTCGCGATTTTTACTGCTTGATTTATTGAAGCTGAAGAGCATGCAACCCTACTGCAACCTGGGTGATACCTAGTGTTCTTGATATAATTCTGCAATCCTTGCAGTGGTGTAACAGTTTTACAGGGTGGACCAAAATAGTTTCCAAGAAGTTTCGTTGAATTATTAGCATTGGGGCCAATAACTGCAAGGGACTTGGTTTCCAATTTTGAAAGCGGGAGAAGCTTATCAGGATTCTTTAGCAGGACTATGCCATCTTGAGCTGCTTTTAGGGCTAGAGCCTGATGCTCTTGGGAACAGACTTGGTCTGGAGCAATGTTGCCATAAGGCTGTTTAGCGGGATTGCCATTGAATAGTCCTAATCTCATCCTTATAGAGAAAAGGTTGTGAAGGGCTCTGTCTATTTCAGATTCCGGCAATTTTTTCTTTTTGACAGCTGATTTGGTGTAGTTCTTCAAGTAATCACCACAGTTAACATCCATCCCTGAAATATTTTTTTGCTTGTCTAAGAAATTAGACGACAGGCAAGTAAAACTACAACTATTTATGCACTTCATATGTTTTTTCTCTTGAAATTAGAAAGTTGAAACTAGTTCCTTAACTAACTGTTGTGGCTGTTTGGTAGTAACACGCAAGCCTATATCATTGCTACTGTGAATTGAGACCTGTTCCTTGATGTCTTGATCATTTCACTGTTTCAGGAAAAATGCAAAACCTTTGCACTTTATTTATAGCTTTGTCTAAAGGAAACGCTATTTAGTGGTACAATTGTCCAAGGGATTCTTTCCTTGGGACTTTTTTTATTTTTATTTTTACTGTTATATCAAAAATCAAACACACTGGACCAGATATGCAAATAAGGTGGATCTTTCCACTTGTGGCCACACGATTCTTTTGTTCATTGAATATCTACACTATTTTTGCTTATTTGATGTGTTCATTTAACTTGCAAACAAGTACAGGCTCTAGTATGGCCGTGCAAAAGGAGAGAATCACAATACCGGCTTTAAGTACATCTGCAACAGCATCTTCTGGTGATTTAGCGTATCCCTGATCATCGTGAATTATGGCGACTGCATCACAATCTGATGTGATGTACCTGATTATTTTTCCAAGAACAAAACACCAATGATCATTTTTCTTAAAAGAGAGAAAAAAATCCTTCTTTTCAACATTTTTCTCCTTACCCGTAGAAGCCCCACTGCCCTCTGGCCTTTTTGGACAATAGATTGTGATCTGCACAATTTGGGACCCCATTAACACGATTATAAGCACACATTATCCCACTAGCTTTTCCTTCTTGTATGCAGCTCTGGAATGGAGGCTGGTACGTATCCGCTAAATCCTGCAATGTGACCTAAACCCAGAAAAAGGTGCTGGTATGTAAATGAAACGGCAGAGAATTTCATTTTAACTTGAATATCTTAAATATAGATTTGATTAATTTTAAGAAAGGAAAATAAACTACT